TAACCAGCCTGTATTTGGGGCATCGTTTCAACTGCACTTGATACAGGAGACTATCCATATCTGAATCTTTGAGAGGGTAATCATTATCGTCATCATTGTACAGCATTGTGTGTACAATAGCCAGGAGATCCTAAGGCTGTTCGGCAGCCAAAAGTTCTAGCTCTTTAGCGTTACGCACCACTAGGTGGCGAGCTAGACTTGTTTTTTAAGGTAACAGATGTTTCAGAGACAGTTTTGCCATATCCTGCCTCTGCATCACACCCCAGGTATTCCTTGGAGGTTGCCTTTCCAAATACTAGCCAAGGCTGACCCTGCTTAGCTTCCAAGTTCTGACGTGAGATTTGGCCAACCTGGGCTACCCAGGTCAGGGCTTTGAGAAGGTGTTCTGCTTTATCTGAGCTCCCCCAACAGTTTGTGGACCCTTGCCACTGAGAAGGTGTCAAACCATCCAGAATTTCCTTGGAACCAAGCATAATTCTCGAAGAAGGGGTCATTCAGGTGTCTTGCAAATCTGAAGATGTTCAGAAGGCTCACTTATCCTTGCCTATCTGGAAAAGCAGGTGCACAGAAAAGCTTTTACGTTGAATAAAACTTCGTTGCTCTTAAAGGTGCCCCCGGACTCAAACTTTGTTCCGCTGCTTCAGACCAACATGGCTACCCACCTGAATTCATCCGTGCCTAGGTTGTCCTCTGTACAGATGTGAGGGCGACTTCTGGCTCTGTCAGGTGTTGGCTGGCCCGTGTGTCTAATTGCCCGAATAACGAAAAAGCAAAAGCAGGGGTGGAGATGGAGGTGGTCCACCTGTCTCTCTGGTGCCACGGGCTCAGAGTCACATTACCAGTATCGATGAAGCTGTGTGGGCAAATCCACCATGCAGCAGAGCTGTTCAGTCCTGCCGCCACGGGAGGGAGGAAAGGGGAGGGGGAAGCGACCCACATATGGCAAGCCTGCCTTCAGGAAGGAGTCGTGACCTGACGAATGACAAGGAGCGATTGGCCTTGGCGCTCTGCGTCCTCCTGAGTGCCCCCCCGCCCCCGCTGTTGCCATCATTACAGATCGACCGGGTTGCCGTGTCCCCATGCCGGGTCGCGCAGAGCTGGAACCCACGCGACCAATCAGTCCTGCCAGCTCGGTTCCTCATGGGGTGGCCTGGCCCGTGTCTCCGAGGGGGCCGGGGTGTCGCTAATGAGTTACTGCTGGTTATGGATGAGCATGTCTCGAGTCAAGCCGGTGCGCCCTGACCCAGCAGAGATCAATGTGAGCCAGGCTCCTCCTGATAAATGCTTCTGTCTCCAGCAGTGGGGGGGGGGAGGGCAGCTGTTGCTTCCTGCTTTTAAAAGAGTGCCCGTGGCAGCAGGGAAGGGGGTGGCAGAGAACGTGACCGGGCGGTGAAAACAAAAGAAAAGTGGGGGGGGGGGGGGTTCTGAAACCTAGCTGGGTTTTCTCCTCTGGACCTTTCCCCGGGGGCTCGACAGCTGCAAAAGAGTGCAGCACGTGCGTTTTGGAAACGATTCTATCCTGGCAAACCCGAGTGAATTGACATGACACGGAAAGCTGGAGCGAGTGGCCGGGGCCGTCCTGTTAAGTGCCGGGGAGATGCTGTTCTGGCCAGGAGCAGCGTGGTCATCGATCGGCTGGCTCTTTTGGAGAGGGACCAAAGTGCCTCGCTCGAGTCGATGGCCCCGGCTGGCTGTTCCCAGAAGCCCAAAGGCAGCCCATTATGCCTCTCTGTGGCCTTCTTGTTGGGGGCTCATCGGTCTGCATCCGTGGCTGACTTGCCCCTTTCTTTGTGCCCCCCCTTATTCCCTCTCTGGCTGCCAGGGGATCATTGCGGAATGCGCAAGCACGAAGGCGCGGGGGAGCTTTGGATGCGTGCACCATTTTTCCCATTGGCTGGGCTGTCGGGCTGTTTTGCTGCTCCCTCTCCACCATATGGACTAGCGCCTCGACTGACATGCTTGTGGTCCCGGGGGGGGGGGCAACAGCAGGCCCTGCTAGCAATGCTCCCTCTAAGCTATGGAGTCTTGTGAGCAGAAATTCTACTTTGTGAGTTGCCGGCATTCAACTTGTGAGTGAGTGATTTGGCTGCTGCATAAATTAGCTTGCTCTGAGTCTGGGGCCATCTTTCCTGAGCTGAGACAAAAATGGGTGAGCTGGAGGCTAAAAGACTGTGAGCTAGCTCACACTCACTCAGCTTAGAGGGAGCACTGCCTGCTGGTATCCTGGAAATGGGGGGCGCAAGGAAGTCTTTGGGGTTTTCCTGGGTGTGAAGGCACTCAATGCGCCTCATGCCCCCAGCACACCTGGACACCTGCCTTACTGCCAAGAGACATCAGCGATGGAGTATGGGTATACTTTTATAGAGACAGAGTTAGAATATTGGGTTTCCTATGCTGCACACTGCAGGGCTACGCCAGATTCTTTGGCGTTCCTGGTTGCACAGACCATCTGACTACCAAATATTCCTCTCATCATCCAGGGAGATCTGTGAAAGGTAGGTTGAGGTTGCCCCATTTAGTCTTCACAACAACCCTGCAAGGTTGGTTAAGCTGAGAGTGAGCACGCACAGCTTGTCCGAAGCCGTCCAGTGAGTGTCATGGCCGAGCAGACATTTGCTCCGAGTCTAACACTGTATAATTGGTTCAGGTGGATAGCTGCCCTGACCTGGACAGCCCAGGCTATCCTGATCTCGTCAGATTTCGGAAGCTAAGCAGAGTCAGCCCTGGCTAGTATTTGGATGGGAGACCTCCAAGGAACACCAGGGGTGTGGCACAGAGGCAGGCAATGGCAAACCACCTCTGGAACATGTGTTGCCTTAAAAACAAGTCTAGCTCACCACCTAGTGGTGCATAACGCTAAAAGAACTAGACCTTCTGGCTGCCAGACGACCTTAGGATCTCCTGGCTATTCTACACACACTGCCATGCAACAATTAACTAATTATTAGGTGCGTAGCCTGGTTGGTCTGAAGCAGCAGAACAAAGTTTGAGTCCAGTGGCACTTTTAAGACCAACAAAATTTCATTCTGGGTGCAAGCTTTGCGGTATAATTGGAAGCGGGCTGTGCCCGTCTAGGTGGTGACTCGTGTTGGGGAAGAATGTTTCAGTGGGCTGGCAAGGACTTTTGTCGGACAGGTTAAGTCCCCCAGCCAGATTCGAATCCAGTAGCCCCTTAGAGACCAACCAGACGTTTGGGGTATAAATTTCCGAGAGTCCTTTGACTTCCTTTTCCAGATACAGACGTGTAGAATCACAGAGCTGGAAGGGGCCATATCTAGTCCAGCCCCCCAGCTCAGAGCAGGATCAGCCTAAAGCTATCTGACGAGGGGGAGCTTTGACTTTTGAAAGCTTCTGCCCCGAAGGTCTTGATGTTCCCCAGGAGGCTACTGGACTGTTATCTAGCTAAATCCCTCGCAAGATAGCTTTGACATGGACACAGACAGTAGGGGCTTGCTCTGAGAAAAGCAAAGAGTTGATGAAGGGGCGAGGAAAAAGAACTGGCAGAACGGGATGCTCCGGGGAACCCCCCATGTTCCCTCTAAGCTGTGGAGTCTTGTGAGCAAAAATTCTACTTTGTGAGCTGCTGGCATTAAAGTGGTGAGCGAGTGATTTGGCTACTGCATTAATTAGTTGGCTCTGGAGCCATCCTTCCTGAGCGAAGGCAAAAATGTGTGAGCTGAAGGCTAAAAAACTGTGAGCTAGCTCACACTAACTCAGCTTAGAGGGAACACTGAACCCCACCTGCCACACTTGGTGGATGAAGCGCTTCCTGCGTGTGAACTCTGACCTTGCACGAAGGCCTTTGTCTGACGCTGGTGTCTGCTCTCAATGTGTGCTGCTTGCACGTAGCTTTCACCAAACTGTTTGCTCTGCTGGGGGGGGGCTGTGCTGTGCTGCATGCATGCATCCCCCCCCCCCCTTCTCCCATGCCTGTCTTTTGTTGACAATTGTCTCTGAGCTTACCTGAGCGGCTGGGCCTGTTTTAGAAAAGAGCAAGAGCAGGAGCACCTTAAAGACTAACTGAATTTGTGGCAGGGGAGGAGGTTTCCTGAGTCACTGCTCACTTCTTCAGATCTGAAAAAAGCAAGAGTCCAGGAGCACGCTAAAGACTAACAAAATTCATGGCAGGGTTATGTGCTTTCGTGAGTCACTGCTTACTTCTTCAGATCTGAAAAAAGCAAAAGTCCGAGAGCACCTTAAAGACTAACAACGTTTGTGGCTGGGGAGGAGCTTTCGTGAGTCACTGCTCACTTCTTCAGATCGGAAAAGAGCAAGACTCCAGGAGCACCTGAAAGACTAACTGAATCTGTGGCAGGGGAGGAGCTTTCGTGAGCCATTGCTCACTTCTTCAGATAGGGATTGCGGTGGATTTTTTATTCTCCGTCCCTTTGGTACGATGTTCAGTCCTCTGCATTTGATAAGAAAGGTGATGTCTGTACCGGTGCGAGTTTCTTCACAAGATTGATGGTTTTCCATTCTGTACAGCTAAATGGGGGGGTGCCTTCCATGGAGATAGATCAAGACAGGTAGCCGTGTTTGTCTGTTGCAGTAGAAATGAGCACGATTCCAGGAGCAATTTAAAAGACGGACAAAATTTGTGGCCGGGGAGGAGCTCTCTTGAGTCACTGCTCACTTCAACAGGCCTGCTTGGTAAACTCTGGGCAGCGGAGAAATTGCTTTTCTCCTTGCAGCTGGGGTGGGGGGGAGCGGCCTTGGGTGTTACTTTCCGACCCCCCTCCCCTTCAGCTCGCTTGCCTTTCCGCTTCTTGCCTCCCGCGTGATGCATCCCGGCTCTCTTCTCCTCTCACTACAGCAGATGAGTTTTTGGCAATGCCTGGCTCCTGGAGCAAGCAAATCGAATGTGACAGGGAAGCACTAACTGGGAGACCTCCTTGCCTGCAGCTGATTTACATTGCAAATACCCATTTTTTTTCGAGGGGGGGGGTGAGAAAAATGCTCATGAGACTCCTCCCCTCCTTCCTTTCTTTTTTTCTAAACAGGGAAGCTGGAACCGAAGATTCACCAGGGAGCGAAGAAGGGGTTGATGAGGCAGAAAGCATCCGCGGGAGCTGCCAGACACGAGCCCTGAGCCCTGACTCCTCCTCGGCAGTGGCAGAAGAACGGCTCTCAGGCTGGCCAGGGAGCGGAGGCCAGGGAGGAACTGCGCGGGGTAGGGAAGGGTTGGGGATTACAGGCAACACAGGTGGATGGAAAGGAAGGAGGGTAAATTGTTATGCGCGGGGTAGGGAAGGGTTGGGGATTACAGGAAACACAGGTGGATGGAAAGGAAGGAGGATAAATTGTTTGTTATGTGCCGAACAAAAATGATAACTAAAGAGAAAAATGAGCGGCAGAGCCAAGGGCATAGGAAGGAGGGCGGCATTCACACGCCAGTCCGTCTCCCCATCATTGGCTGACTTTTAGGCCCAGCCGGAACTGCGCCAGGGGTTCCTGTGGTCTCCCCCCCTCCCCCCGTATTAAAGCCAAGCATCCATTGGCGTTGTTTCCTCCTTGGCAGTTATTTCTGGCCGAACGCGTCGCTGAGGAGTCAGGTTGCGGCATCAGAGCATTCCACCTGTTAGAGCACCTGGCTGGGGGATGCGGGGGGGGGGGATGCGCCATCAAAGCCGGAAGCACAGCGGTATCTGCTAGCATCACCTCCCAGAGTTGGATCAAAGGGCTCCTTCCGCGTTGCTCCTTTGATTAATTTCAAAGCTAATGACAGGGTAAAGAGGATGGGGGCAGAGCGTGGCTCGGCTGCCAGCTCTCTGCTTCCTCGGGTCCTTGAGCCGGCTTGTCTGAAAATCTCCACTTAGTTTACTATTAAAAACATGGGTGCACACAAGCCGACCAGGAGGCTGAGCTGGGTAACAGGTTCCCATTCAACTGAGTACACGGGCGTAAAATCCTGCAAGTTGCAACCGGAATACGAAACGACTCCCCCTTTCCTCTAACCTGGCGTCCTGTGCTCTCGCTGCAGTTTCTCCAACGCACCGCACCGCAAAGAAAGGCCGCCCAGCTTTTCTGTTTGAGTCGTGCTCTTGAGCCCTTGCATCTGCGTGGTCCGACCGTCGCATGCCTGGCCTTGTAGCTCTACTTAAGCTTCCCAAAAGAAGCACGAGGGGACTGTTCCCAAGGGTGGCTGCACACCTGCCAGATCCTGTTTATAGGGACCCTCCCTCTGATTTTATAGGGACCCCTACAGGGATCAAGGGCCGTATCAGCAGAAGAGAACAGACCATTACAAAGGTGATGGGGGGGGCAGAGGGCAGCTACTGGGCAGCAGCAGGACATAGAAACACAAGAAGAGCCCTGCCGGGTCAGACCAGTGGGGGTCCATCTAGTCCAGCATCCTGTCTCACGCAGTGGCCAGCCAGTTCCTCTGGAGGGCCAGCAACAGGGCACAGAGGCCGAGGCCCTCATGGGAACACAAGAGGAGCCCTGCGTCCTTTATCCTGGCCAGGCAGTGGAAGACACCGCTCCCCCGATTCCTGACTCACTCCCAGGGCTTGCCTTTCACATGAGCCTGCCTGGATAAGGCCCTGTGCAGGGGCAGTGGCACTCACACATGCCTTCCTTCTGCTCTACAGTTTAACACCGCAGTTTCGCTGTGCCATCTGGAGTTCCCACGGCCACAGAGGCAGGCAGCCTCCCCTCCTGAGCGTGCCCCCCCCCAGGGCCTTCCAAATCTGTGCCTTCATTTTTGAGAATCCTGCCTGGAGGCTCTCGAGTCAAAGACTCTTCTCCTGCCATTGTCAGTTCCCTCTGCTGGGTTGTTGTTTTTTTTGGGGGGAGGAGGTCCTTGTGGACCATTTGCAATAGGAAGACGAGGGGGCTGGTGTGGCAAAATGAATGTCTGCCTTGGATGCCACTTGGGGTTGTAGCAGATGAGTATCTGGCTTTTCATATGCATCACAATCACCAGGAACATCTCCCTTTGTGTGTCTCCTGAGACCAGGGCAGGAAGATCCCTTTCCTTTAACTACGGGAGGAAGACCAGAAACAGAGAAGGGAGGGTGGGAATGGAACTGGATGGGGCAGGGGGTAAGGAGAGCCATGCCGGTTCCCTCTCTCTTTGAACACAGGAGGCTGCCTGATACCGAATCGAACCCCTTGGTCCATCCAGGTCAGTCTTGTCTACCCAGACTGGCAGTGGCTCTCCGGGGTCTCCTCCGGCAGAGGTCCTTCACATTATCTCCTACCAGATCCTTTCAGCTGGAGATGCTGGGGGATTTAAGCTGGGGCCTTCTGCATGCCGAGCAGAGGCTCTTCCACTGAGCCAAGGCCTTTCCCATCACCTATTGCTGGGCCTTTTAAACAGAGATGCCGGGGATTGAATGTGGGACCTTCTGCATGCCGAGCAGAGGCTCTTCCACTGAGCCAAGGTCTTTCCCATCACCTATTGCTGGACCTTTTAAACAGAGATGCCGGGGATTGAATGTGGACCTTCTGCATGCCGAGCAGAGGCTCTTCCACTGAGCCAAAGTCTTTCCCATCACCTATTGCTGGGCCTTTTAAACAGAGATGCCGGGGATTGAATGTGGGACCTTCTGCATGCCGAGCAGAGGCTCTTCCACTGAGCCAAGGCCTTTCCCATCACCTATTGCTGGGCCTTTTAAACAGAGATGCCGGGGATTGAATATGGGACCTTCTGCATGCCGAGCAGAGGCTCTTCCACTGAGCCAAGGTCTTTCCCATCACCTATTGCTGGGCCTTTTAAACAGAGATGCCGGGGATTGAATGTGGGACCTTCTGCATGCCGAGCAGAGGCTCTTCCACTGAGCCAAGGCCTTTCCCATCACCTATTGCTGGGCCTTTTAAACAGAGATGCCGGGGATTGAATGTGGGGCCTTCTGCATGCCGAGCAGAGGCTCTGAGCCACAGCCCCCTCCCCATGAACCTCTGTAAGGTTCCCTCACGCATTCACACTTTCAAATTCTGTCTTCTTTTAAAGGCTTCTCTCTCTTTTTAATCCTCCAAAGCGGCAGAACTGGCACAAAACTCAGTGCAGGGTTTGAAGCCAGAAGGTGCCTTTCTGCTTATTGCCACTTCCCCTGTACTGCAGCGGAAGAGAGAACCTCTCCGGCAAGGTGGCTTGGGTTCCCACCCCCTCCCCACCCCATCCTTGACACAGCCTCCTTTCATCTCTGTAGTATCAAAGCCCAGCTGGATGGGTTTGTTGGAACAGGTGGGGGAAGGGAGGGACTTCACTTCTTAGGAAAGGGGGGGGGGAAAGGCCTTTAAAAGTGCGACAAAAGAAATACAAGGAGAGAATCTGTGCCTGGACTGATCTCCCCTCAGGGTGGCTTTTGTCAGGATTGTCCTTGTGACAGAAAGGCAATGCAAGAGGGCACTAGCGGGAGGGGTGTGTGTGTGTGTGTGTCTCTGTGTGTGTGTATGTGTAAGGGAGGGGCAAAAATGTCTACTCTTGCTCCCAGATTAGCAGATGCTGGCGATGGGGTGGGGGACTTGGGGCAGCTCGCGCTTTTATCCATTTTTATTTTTTGCTTCTCCAGCAAGGGGACTGTTCCTTCGACTTTCAAAGCTCAGAAGGAGCTTCTGCGAACATCACGAGATTTCCAATAAACACATGCCGTCCTAGCTTAAAGGTCAAGGTAAAGGTTTTCCCCTTGCTCGAAAGCTAGTCGAATCCGACTCTAGGGTTGCAGTGCTCATCTCCGTTTCAAAGCCGAAGAGCCAGCGCTGTCCGAAGACGTTTCTGTGGTCACATGACCGGCATGACTAAACGCTGAGGCACACGGAATGCTGTTCCCTTCCCACCGAAGTGGTACCTATTTATCTACTTGCAATTTTTTGCTTTCAAACTGCTAGGTTGGCAGGAGCTGGGGCCAGAGACGGGAGCTCACTCCGTCACGCGGCACACTCGGGTCTTGAACTGCTGAACTACAGACCTCCCGGTCTGCAGCTCAGTCCGTCTTAACCTCTGAGCCACCATGGCCCTTTTTGTCCTAGTTTGCCTTTCCATTAAAAAATATTCAAAATGATTACCTTTTCTCTAGTCGATTTGGTGTGGAGGACCAGCCCCAATGACGTCGCAAAAGACACGTCTCATTTCACAGGGCGGGATGTACGGAGGTGTAGGTCAGTCCGAGATGGTCTTTCACTGCGAGGGTAGAGAAGAGAGGTGGGGGGAAGTGCCGTCAAGTCTCAGCTGATTTAGGGTGACCTTTTGTGGGGTTTTCAAGGCAAGAGACGTTCAGAGGTTGGTTTGCCGTTGCCTGCCTCTGTGTAGACATCCCTGGACTTCCCTGGTGGTCTCCCATCCAAGTGCTAACCAAGACCAATCCTACTTAGCTTCTGAGATCTGATGAGATCGGGCTAGCCTGGGCTATCCAGGTCAGTAAAGAGAAGAGTGCAGGGAGCAATTTTTAATGGGGTCTACTGGAGACTATAGGAGCTGTGGTGGCTCAAGTGGTTAAGACGCTGAACTGCAGGCTGTGGAAGGTCGGTAGTTCAGCAGTTCGAGACCCGAGTGTGCCGCATGACGGAGCCTTGGTGTTTAGTCATGCCGGCCACATGACCACGGAAACGTCTTCGGACAGCGCTGGCTCTTCGGCTTTGAAACCGAGATGAGCACCGCACCCCTAGAGTCGGATTCGACTGGCTTTCGGGCAAGGGAACCTTTACCTTTACTGGAGACTATAGGCTGGAGCTGAATAGCCCAGAGTAGCCTGATCTCATCAGAGTTCGGAAGCTAAGCAGGGTCGGCCACACTTCACCCTTGGAAGGGAGACCACCAAGGAAGTCCAGGGTCGCCATGCAGAGGCGGGCAATGGCAAATCACCTCTGAATGTCTCTTGCCTTGAAAGCCCTACGGAGGTCACCCGTAAGTCGGCTGTGACCTGACAGCAGATAAAATGAAATACCGGAGACTGCGGGCTGTAGAGTTCCATCTTCAGTCGCTGGCTCTCTGCCTCGACCTTGGGGACAGAATTCTATTCCGAGCGCAGCCTAGAAATAAAAGGAAGCCAATCTGTGGCCGGGAAGCAAAAAAACCCCGGCACTCCAGCTTCAGCACCGAGTACCGCAAGCAAACTTAACACGCAGAGAGAAACGGCAGGCTTTGTCCGACGCACAGATCTCTTGGATCACCGGGGTCCCCACCTGCCCTTCCGACTTTGGGGGCAGCATCTCTGTCCAGGAAAGACAGCAGGCAGATACATTTAAAATGAGGATGGGAAAGGCCAAAACACTCCAGAAACAGTCACAGCTACCGTTCCAGCCTGGGGTGTCACAAGGCACTTCCAGCCCTACTGCCAGGTGGCTCTCTCTTCAGCCTTTTTCAGCATTTCTGCTGACAAGAAGTTCTTTGAGTGTTTTTAGACACTGGAATATTCCATCATTTCTCTTTGAGTCCTCAACCTGAAGAGAAAAAAGATTTCCATCTCAATTGTATGGCTAGCAATAATTTGCACCTTTATACCTCTGTTGTACAGATTGCCTCTAAAACAGAGGGAAGTGGGTTCTGTCCATATCACTCCGATTCAGTTAGAAC